CACTAATAGTTTGAAGGTACTTATGCTCATAAGATAAGTTTAAAGGTACACATTAGTTTGCAAACTGTAACATTGTCATGCATTGAAAGATTTTAAAATAACTTGGCATAAATGTCTACCACATCATGATGATGTGTTGCATTCAAGACCCATGTCCCAAGTTGGTTAGTTTGCTATAATAGAACTTCATCTCACAAGCAATTACAGTAAAGACTGTCTTAGTGACCCCCTGTATATAGCGACGTTCTGTCTTTAGTGACCATAGTTTGGTGCGCCGAACAGTATTTGCTATATAAATGGTCTGTATGTAGCGACTCCCTGTCTAGTCCGTACAACGACCATGATTTAGTCACCTGTTACGGTATATGAGCCGTGCAAAGCGACTTTTGCAAGGGGAGCAGGGCTTGAGCTAGGGGGCGACTTCGGCGAAGAAGTTGCCTTCAGATCAGCGACTTCGCCTTAAACAAACTTCGAAGAGATTTTTAAGTCGCCCGATTTTTTTAATGATCTGTCATACTTATTTACGCGGCTAGGTCTGTTTACAATTTGTTTACCTCTCAATTACAACCAATTACAGTTAATCCGCTAGTTAAGAACGCGTGTCAACATCAACAAAGTCTAATACACGCCGCAAGGCAAGAGTTCACTATGTATATCTCTCTCAGTTTGTATTCATGCGAATGACGAATCAGAACGCGCGTTGTATCTACGGCAGTTTGCATTGACCAATCGGCGACACACTAATACACTGTGGCTGTTTGTTGACAATTACACAAAATGGCGATAGATTCAATCAATTTTCGCCGATTGCATGATTAAAGACACCTGCATATACATAATTGCTGCGGTGTTTTGGCGAGTAAAGATAAACAATGCCCAACGTCTTAAAGGTGTGGTTATGTTCGAAAACTTGATTGTTAAATTTTTTTCGGAGCACTAATCTGTAGAAATTATGTGAAGAGTTGTATCTAATGTTTTATTGATACTTTGATTTCCGTAAAGTAAACAGGCTGATTATACAAAATTAAATGTCTCTAACATTCTGGCTCATGTGGGCAATCGCTAATAGACCAGCCTGACTCATTGCCAATATGGCAAGTGGCACTGCTCTATCTGCCCTGAATATTGTTACCAACTAAACATACTCACTACATGTATACAGTATATGTAAATTTGTGTTTGCTATTGGTATACATTTATGAAAAGTAGATTTATAGTAGAATTGTTTTATTTGATAGGTGTTTCTTATTTCCTTTCTGGTTTATCCCTAGCTTATAATTCTCCAGATGATGCCTAATATATCTCCCAACTTCTCCCTAAAGTCTCGAATATATCCGAATTATGTAGAGACTGTCCACAGTGACTCCCTGTCTATAGTGACCTTTTTAGCTCACCTGTCACAAAGTGACAGGGTGAGCTTTTGTGATAACTTTTCGTCTGGCGTCCGTCCGGCGTCCGTCCGAGCAAACATTTGATTATTATGAGCTTCATTCCGTAGTTAAATAAAGAACAAAAACTCATAAAATTCAAATTAAGAGCTATTTTTTTGTTTTTATGAGCTTATTTTGCTTATGGACGTTGGTCCAGGTGGTGTTTATGAGCTGATTTGCCTCATAAACATCAAAAGTTGGTACGTCCGTTCGTAAACTTTTACTTTAAATGACATCTCCTCATAAACCAGTAAGCCAATTTCATCCAAACTTCACAGGAATGTTCCTTTGGTGGTCACCTTTAAAAAGTGTTCAAAGAATTTAATTCCATGCAGAACTCTGGTTGCCATGGCAACCGAAAGAAAAAACTTTAAATATCTTCTTTTAAAAAACCCAAAGAGCTAGAGCTTAGATATTTGGCATGAAACATCTTCTAGTGAGTGTCTACCAAGTTTGTTCAAATAAAAGCCCTGGGGTCAAAATTGGCCCCGCCCCAGGGGGTCATTGATTTTCCCTATATGCATATAGTAAAAAATCCTCTTTTAAAGAACCCATAGAGCTAGAGCTAAGATATTTAGCATGAAACATCTTCTAATAAGTGTCTACCAAGTTTGTTCAAATAAAAGCCCTAGGGTCAAAATTGGCCCGCCCCAGGGAGTCATTGATTTTCCCTATATGCATATAGTAAAAACTTAAAAAATCTTCTTTAAAAGAACCCATAGAGCTAGAGCTAAGATAATTAGCATGAAACATCTTCTGATAAGTGTATACAAAGTTTGTTCAAATAAAAGCCCTGGGGTCAAAATTGGCCCCGTCCCAAGGGGGTCATTGATTTTCCCTATATATGCATATAGTAAAAACTTAAAAAATCTTAATTAAAAGAACCCTAAGAGCTAGAGCCAAGATATTTAGCATGAAACATGTTCTAATAGGTGTCTACAAAGTTTGTTCAAATAAAAGCCCTGGGGTCAAAATTGGCCCCGCCCCGGGGGTCATTGATTTTCCTTATATACAGTACGCTCAGCGCGGCTTTTTCAAAACCCGCGTGACCCCGCGGATGAGGTTTACCGCGGACGTAAATTTGCTCAGATATTGTCCGTGTGACCCCGCGGACACAAAATTTTCACCACCGCGGACATAAATCGGCGGCTGAAACCGTTTCCCCCGCGGAACGCAGTGGCAAATTGCGGAGGAACGCGGCGGTAAAACACCGGTCAAGGCGGTGGAAACCTTAAATTTTAAAAATTAATTACTGTATTTAAACATCAGTATACGTACGTACATGTACTTTAACATGTACTGTACATATACATGTAACTATATGTAAAATTTGTTTGTTTTCTTTCTTTTTTGTTGTAATAAAAGTACATGTACAAATGCAGTGTTTTTCTCGTTCTTCTTCTCGTTATTGTGTTGGATAATGTATAATATGTATTCGACATCAAGATAAATCATTGTCGTCGCAACTTCATGGTAGTGAGAAACTTGAAGTCAAATAATGAAAAATTCGGCATATGACTTTAATTTTTTGAAAAAGATACTACAACAATTTATATGCCAACTTTTGTTTGGAGGCGCATGCGAGACAGGCAGCAAGAGAGCGGGACCGTTTACTCAAAGGTATGGAGAGCCTAGCTAGACAAAACCAGAAGTTGACGGAAGAGGTGGTGGCCCTCCGTGGGTTGGTGGACGGTCTGGTGGTCACCACAGGTCAGTGTACGAGAAGTAGGGTACCACCATAAAAACTAATAGAAAACTCGTAATATCTAACTAAAGACGCAAATTAAATTTGAAGCATTTAAAGAACTCTCTTTGTGTAGCACAAACGAATTATGAACATTTATGTATAATACTACTATTTAAATACATATTAAGTAGCGGCGACATGTCCCCTTTTCACACATACAATATCTGACAATATAAAAAATATGACAATATACAATATCTGACAATATCGGACAATATCTGACATGATGGCAAAGAGAACCTTTTTGAATTTGTGTCAAATATATATACGGTATGTACAGTATACATGTACATAAACTTTTTGGCAAGTGTCATGCATATTTCTCATGTCCATTTTCGACGGGGTTTTTACTTTAAAAAAACACAAACAAACAAGTCTACCCGATTTTAAAGAATATAATTGCATACAAATAAAATCTTATAGATGGTTTAAATATCTTTTTCTTTTATTTCTAATATATGTACATGTATTTTATGTATGTCCTGTCTTGTATTCACACTCATCGACCTCTTACAGGACATGTACTGTAGCGTCAGTCATCATTGAGAAATCAGCACAAATGTCCTTTTTTTACTAAGTATCATATTTATGGCTCCCATATAGTTTAACAGCAATAATACTTATAGAACCACAAGGAATGAACAAGTAAAGATGACAGTGATAAATGACGATTTCAGTTGTAAAAATATTGGTATGTGGACGAGTAGTTTTGTGGACGTTTATAACAAAAATATTAAAAACAACAACAAAAACAGGTACAGCTGTAATTATTTTTATTTCAAATTCCGTTCAAATAATTTAACGTATAATAACATTTAAGGAGACGATTGTGGTCAATTTTCAAGTCATTGTGTAAAAAAGATGACGTTAAAAAATAATAAAACGTCTATTATTTTTGGAGGTTAATTTATACTGACCAACTGACCATGGCGTTCCCCCGCGGGAAACGGGTGACTGATTTTATCGATAAATGAAGAACGGTCGTCAGAATTTTGTCCGCGGTGGAAACAACTGAACACCGGGGATCGCGGGGAAATTAGGCTTCTCATCGCGGACGAACCCCCGTGTTTGTCCGCGATAAAAAAAAATCGTCCACGGTGGTATCGCGGAAAAAGCAAAACCCGCGGTGAGCGTACTGTATGTTTGGCAAAACCTTAAAAATCTTCTTTGAAAAACCCAAATAGCTAGAGTTTAGATATTAAGCATGAAACATCTTCTAGTAAGTGTCAACAAAGTTTGTTCAAATAAAAGCCCTGGGGTTAAACTGGCTACGCCCCAGAGGTGTCATTGCTTTTAACTATATGTGTATAGTAAAAACTTAAAAAATCTTCTTTTAAAAAACCCAATGAGCTAGAGGTTAGATTTTAAGCAGGAAACATCTTTTTGTTGGTGTCTACCAAGTTTGTTCAAATAAAAGCCCTTGGGTTAAAATTGGCCCTGCCAAAGTGGGGGGGGGGGCGAGGGGGGCGGAGGTCATTGTTTTTCATTATATGTGCGTAGTAAAAACTTAACATCATGAAACATCTTCTAATGGGTGTCTTCCAAGTTTGTTCAAGTAAAAGCCCTGGGGTTTAAACTGGCCCCGCTACCGGGGCCTATATACAGGTGAGCGACCTCAGGGCCATCATGGCCCTCTTGTTTCTTTTCTCCCATTGAAGGTCACTGTAAACAGTTTTTACTGTAGTTGCTTATATTCTATTTTCTTTTCATAATAACTTTCTGCAATGCTAGAAACCTTTTTGGGGGCATTTGTCACTGTTGCGTGACAGCTCTTGTTTTTCAAATGAAAGAAAAGTATAAGCATATTATACTGAAATTTTCAGGCCCACAAGATTTGATGGTGATAACTCAAAGGTGTATGTATGCTTCTGTACTGAACACTATTTTTGGAGATGGCAACCCCCTTGTCAATGATCAGGTAATATTGTTTTCATGTTTTTGGTTTTTAGCTGCACTTATTGAAGAAATGGTGAGGCTGTTGTCATGTCATTCTTGGCAGCTTTGGTTAATGTTTTTAGTTAACTTTTTTAGTTTTTGTTTGTAAGTACTTTACTTCAATATTATCTAGACTATTACATTGGTGTTTGTCAGTACTTTACTTCAAAACTAACTAGGCTATTACATTGGTGTTTGTCAGTACTTTACTGCAATACTAACTAGGCTTTTAAATTGGTGTTTGTCAGTACTTTACTTCAATACTAACTAGGCTATTACATTGGTGTTTGTCAGTACTTGACTTCAATACTAACTAGGCTTTTACATTGGTGTTTGTCAGTACTTTACTTCAATACTAACTAGGCTTTTACATTGGTGTTTGTCAGTACTTTACTGCAATACTAACTAGGCTTTTACATTGGTGTTTGTCAGTACTTTACTGCAATACTAACTAGACTATTACATTGGTGTTTGTCAGTACTTGACTTCAATACTAACTAGGCTATTACATTGGTGTTTGTTTGTCAGTACTTTACTTCAGTATTAACTAGGCTATTACATTGGTGTTTGTCAGTACTTCAATACTAACTAGGCTATTACATTGGTGTTTGTCAGTACTTTACTTCAATACTAAGTGGGCTATTACATTGGTGTTTGTCAGTACTTTACTGCAATACTAACTAGACTATTACATTGGTGTTTGTCAGTACTTTACTTCAATACTAACTAGGCTATTACATTGGTGTTTGTCAGTACTTTACTTCAATACTAACTAGGCTTTTACATTGGTGTTTGTCAGTACTTTTCTTCAATACTAACTAGGCTATTACATTGGTGTTTGTCAGTACTTCAATACTAACTAGGCTTTTACATTGGTGTTTGTCAGTACTTTACTTCAATACTAACTAGGCTTTTACATTGGTGTATGTCAGTTCTTAACTTTAAACTAACTAGGTTATTACATTGATGTTTGTCAGTACTTTTCTTCAATACTAACTAGGCTATTACATTGGAAACTTTAAATGTAAATACAGTCGAGACTGCCTAAGCGATCCCCTGATTTAAACGACTCCCTGTCTTATCCGACCTTGTTTCAGTACTCCCAACGTATTTTCCTATATAAATGGTCTGAATTATACGACTCCCTGTCATATGTGACAAGCAACCCTAATTGTCTGGTCCCAATGCAATGTTTGGTCTGATTTAAACGACTTTCACATCTTTTAATTGTCCTTTAATCAGATAAATAATACCTATTATAACACCCAGAGGGCCAAAATAATTAAGTCCAATTATAATCCAGTAGCAAACAAAGTCTACAGACCTATATCTCAATTACACACATGCAGGTATCAAGTGACGTATGGGAAGCATGATGCAATCCATGCGTGTGTTATGTACATAATGGCCTGAGTAAACTGGTTAAGACTGCTGTTAGATTTTTTTTTAATTATAGAGTGCCCACGGAAGATTTTTTAGGCAGCATTTTTTGATTTACCTTTCTATGACTGCATAATTAATACGGAAAAAATATTGATACCAAACCAGATAAAGCTTTGGATATTGATATGTTTAAAGATCCTGTAACACAAATTTTCATGGTTTTATTTCATAAATATGATGCTCAAATTAAGATTTGTCAATATTGTAAGTTCAAATAAACATTATTTATAAAGATATCACCCAATTTAACATTTCATGTAAATAAAGGCCATTAAAGGGAGGTAATTAGAACTTTATTTTCTATAAATTCTACACCAATGTAATAGCCTAGTTAGTATTGAAGTAAAGTACTGATATGACAACCAAATGTAAAAGCCTAGTTAGTATTGAAGTACTGACAAACACCAATGTAATAGCCTAGTTAGTATTGAAGTAAAGTACTGACAAACAAAGAATTTCGGGCATATTATGTTATACCCCCTGGCGTCTGTCAGTCCCTCCGTCTGTCCGCAATTCAGTTTCCGGATCATAACTTAAGTTACATTTGGCCCACAATATTCAATCTTCATAGGATGATTGTCCATATTGGGTAGAAGACCCCTATTCATTTTGGGGTCACAAGGTCAAAGGTCAAGGTCACTATTACTTTAAAAGTGAAAACAGTTTCCAGAACATAACTTAAGTTCCATTTGGCCCATAGTATTCAAACTTCATAGGATGATTGTCCATATTGGGTAGAAGACCCCTATTGAATTTGGGGTCACAAGGTCGAAGGTAAAGGTCACTATTACCTTAAAACTGAAAACAGTTTCCGGAGCATAACTTTAGTTCCATTTGGCCCACAGTGTTCAAACTTCATAGGATGATTGTCCATATTGGGTAAAAGACCCCTATTGATTTTGGGGTCACAAGGTCAAAGGTCACTATTACTTTTAAACTGAAAACAGTTTCCAGACCATAACTTAAGTCCAATTTGGCCCACAGTGATAAGACTTCATAGGATGATTGGGTAGAACAAACCTATTGATTTTAGGGTCACAAGGTCAAAGTTCAAGGTCACTATTACCTAAAACTGAAAACAGTTTCCAGAGCATAACTTAAGTTCCATTTTGCCCACAATATTCAAACTTCATAGGAGGATTGCTATTTGAAGGAGGTAATACTTTATTTAATTCCCATGTCTTACAAATGCTTCATCCTTACTAAAAAAAACACTTTCGGGCATATAATGCTCCGCCTAGCAGTGCTCTTGTTAAATAAATGTTATTCAAGATGGACAATTTTAATGCAGAATTATTAGTTGATGAAACATATGTATTTCAGAGTGATCAATTTCTAGAACAAATCTTAAGCAAAATGATTTTTTGTAGGACAAATATAATACAAAGTGATTAATTTGTAGGACAAAATTAATGTAATACAAACTTACAACTTGGTAAGGCAACATCTTTCCCAAAATGTTTGCAGAGAAAACCTTTAAAATATATACATATATAGTGAGTGAAAAAGGGCCATCATGGTTTTCTTGTTTATAACTGGTCAGTTATGATAGTTGTGCATTGTAGATGATCATAGATTTGTTATTCCTGTTATTTCACATAGGTCTTTATGTTTATTTCAGGCTGATTATGAGGAGTTCTTAAAGCAGTTTAAAATTTTCGATGAAGATTTTGAGTATGGTGTTAAACTACCTTCAGTTTTTCTTCCTAAATGGTCGGCAGCAAAGAGATATTTTTTGACAAGAATAGAAGTTACATTTAAGAAAATGAAAGGACAACATACGCAGTCAGAGAAACTGGTGTGTATTCATTTTATGAAAAAATTACATCAGGCCTTTTTTTGCTTGTCTGTTTGTGATGAAAAAAATTTGACCTATTATGATTACTGCATCATCATTTAGGTCATGATAAGGTGTAGTGTTTCAGAGACAAAGGGCATGGCTCTGAAAGCTGTATTTGTGAAGTAATGCCCCTAGAATATTTGTTAAAATTGGTTATTTATAGTCATTGCTTTTAAGATACAAGTGTTAAAACGACTTGCAGTGCTCTTGTTTCCTTTTAAATTACTACTAGTAAATGGAGGCAAAAACATGCCCATGCCAAAACATGTTTTTTCCCAAATTCTGTAGCTAAAATTCCCAATTGTCAGTCTGTATTTATATTGCAGATTTTCTTTGAATTCAAAGGGAATCCCTTAAAATTACTAATACAGGGAAATATGAATTCAGATGCTATAATTTGACACAACTCTTTTATTCATTATCATACATGTGATATCATGGCGGGTTAAAAAAAATCCTGATATTTTGACTCTTATTCAGATTCCTGATATCATAGATTGAATTCCCGATATTCATCTTTCAGCCACCATAATATCAACAAAAAAAAAGCACCTGTCCTTAAAATGTTAACCTTGCCTCTAGTCATTAATGATAAACAATATCTGTCCAAATCATGTATGATGGCAGATTAAATATTGTGTTGCTATTTGACAGCATAGTGGCAAAATAAACAGTTCATACCCTTTGTTGTTAGCAGATGTTAATCTTGCTGATAATAAAACATGTGTTGCCCTTCACATTTTTAAAAGGACTGTGATTAGGTAGTACACAATAACTATGTTGATTTACATGTATGAATTTGCATGTATATTAAAAGTCTGGGCCGCCTTAAGTGTTCTTTTGTTTGTGCCGCATTGATAAAGTTTAAAGGTAGGCCAAATCCTTTAAACTGGATCATTGAAAAACCATTTGCAGAAGTGACAAAAGCATGTCTAATTCATCTGTTTTTAGCGAGTTGGTAATATTTATATTACACACATTCAATTATGAAATGAAAAACTTCTTGCATTTGTTTACAAAAAGTATTTTAGTTTGTCCTTTGTTACATTTTTAGCTCACCTGTCACAAAGTGACAGGGTGAGCTAAAATTTGTGATCGCTTTTCGTCCGGTGTCCGTCCGTCCGTAAACTATTACTTTAAATGACATCTCCTCATAAACCACTAAGCCAATTTCATCCAAACTTCACAGGAATGTTCCTTTGGTGATCACCTTTAAAAATTGTTCAAAGAATTTAATTCCATACAGAACTCTGATTGCCATGGCAACCAAAAGAAAAAACTTTAATTATCTTCTTTTAAAAAACCCAAAGGGCTAGAGCTTAGATATTTGGCATGAAACATCTTCTAGTGAGTGTCTACCAAGTTTGTTCAAATAAAAGCCCTGGGGTCAAAATTGGCCCCGCCCCAGGGGGTCATTGATTTTCCCTATATGCATATAGCAAAAACTTTAAAAGTCTTCTTTTAAAAAACCAAAAGAGCTAGAGCTAAGATATTTAGCATGAAACATCTTCTAATGAGTGTCTACCAAGTTTGTTCAAATAAAAGCCCTGGGGTCAAATTTGGCCCCGCCCCAGGGGGTCATTGATTTTCCCTATATGTATATAGTAAAAACTTAAAAAATCTTCTTTTAAAGAACTCAAAGAGCTAGAGCTAAGATATTTAGCTAGAACATGTTCTAATGGGTGTCTACCAAGTTTGTTCAAATAAAAGCCCTGGGGTCAAAATTGGCCCTGCCCCAGGGGGTCATTGATTTTCCCTATATGTATATAGTAAAAACTTAAAAGATCTTCTTTTAAAGAACTCAAAGAGCTAGAGCTAAGATATTTAGCATGAAACATGTTCTAATGGGTGTCTACCAAGTTTGTTCAAATAAAAGCCATGGGGTCAAATTGTCCCGCCGGGTCATTGATTTCCTAATAGTGTATAGCAAAACTAAAGTTTCTTTGAAAAACTAAAGCTAGAGTAAGATATTAGCATGAAACATTTCATGGTGTCTACAAGTTTGTTCAAATAAAAGCCTGGGTCAAATTGCCCGCCTCAGGTCATTGATTTTCCTTATATATGTGTATAGCAAAAACTTAAAAATCTTCTTTGAAAAAACCCAAATAGCTAGAGTTGAGATATTAAGCATGCAACATGTTCTAGTAAGTGTCTACAAGGTTTGTTCAAATAAAAGCCCTGGGGTCAAAACTAGCCCCGCCCCAGGGGTGTCATTGTTTATAACTATGTATGTAAAGAAAAAACTTAAAAAATCTTTTTTTTAAAAACCCAATGAGCTAGAGCTTAGATGTTTAGCATGAAACATCTTCTTATGGGTGTCTACCAAGTTTGTTCAAATAAAAGCCCTTGGATAAAATTGGCCCTGCCGGGGGTGGGGGAGGGCAGATCATTGTTTTTCATTATAAGTGTGTACATCCTGAAACATCTTCTTATGGGTGTCTTCCAAGTTTGTTCAAATAAAAGCCCTGGGGTTTAAACTGGCCCCGCTCCGGGGGCCTACATACAGGTGAGCGACCTCAGGGCCATCATGGCCCTCTTTTTATGGTTATGTGGGTTCTTTATACCAAATGTGCTAAACACTGTCAATAAAAAAAATCCAGTTTTGGCTCATTTCAGTTATCACATGTATGCATTATGTGCTATATTTTAGAAAGAAACAAATGTTGAAGAATTAAATTGTTTTACAATAATTATTAAACAAAGGTAAATTTGTTTATGTAGTCAATAATTCCAGAATATTTCAGAATATTTTTGAAGGACAACAAGTAATACATAAATGTAATGAATAAAATACACTGTTTTTTTCTTTTTTTGCACTAGAATTCAAGGAATTGATATATTCTATAAATGTATAAATGATATGACATATATTTACAAACTTTCAGAACATGGTAAATGCTTTGTTAGAGAAATTAGATGGAGACAAGGTGACTCACAAGTTTGGAATGCTTGTTATGTTTGCATCTATTGCTAATGCTGTACCTGTAAGTTGTGTTTTTATACCCCCGAAACGAAGTTTGGAGGGGCATATAGGAGTCACCCGCTGGTCAGTCGGTTGGTCGGTCCAGCGGTCCGTTGCATTTTCCTTGTCCGGAGCATAACTTGAAGCCTAATGGTTAGAATTCAATACAACTTCATACAATGATCAAGCACATTGAGATGAAATGCATTGCACAAGATTTATAACTTCATCTTGACTAATTACAGAGTTATTGCCCTTTGTTACTTTTCCTTGTCCGGAGCATAACTTGAAATTTACTTGTTGGAATTCAATACAACTTCAATCAATCTTCAAGCACATTAAGAGGAAGTGCAGTGCACAAGAACAATAACGCCATTTTGACAAATTACAGAGTAATTGCCCTTTGATACTTTTCCTTGTGCAGAGCATAACTTGTAAAGTACTGGTTGGAATTCAAAACAACTTCATACAATGGTCAAGCACATTGAGAGTAAATGCAGTGCACAAGAACCATAACTCCATCTTGACTCATTTAAGAGTTTTAGCCCTTTGTTACTCATTATTGTCCAGTGCATAACTTGAAAATTAATGGATGGAATTCAATGAAACTTCATACAATGGTCAAAGGCAGTGAGGTGAAGTGCAGTGCACAAGAACCATAACTCTATTTGGACTAATTAGTTATTGCCCTTTGTTACTTTTTTGTCCAGTGCATAACTTGAAAACTAGTAGTTGGAATTAAATACAACTTCATACCATGGTCAAGCGCAATGAGAGGAAGTGCAGTGTACAATAACCATAACTTCAGCTTCAGTATTTGTAGAGTTATTGCCCTTTGTTCCTTTTCCTTGTCAGGTGCATAACTTAAAAACTAATGTTTAGAATTCAAAGAAACTTCTTTCAATGGTCAAGTGCAATGAGAGGAAGTGCAGTGCTCAAGAAGCGTAACTCTTTTTGGACTTATAACAGAGTAATTCAATAAAACTTCATCAGTGGTCAACCAAATTGAAAGGAAATGCAATATACAAGAACCACAACTATCTTTAATTGCCAACAACCAAAACCCTATTTCAGTTCTTTTGCAAGGTATTCTGTCATTTCCATAGCTGTCTTGCAGGGGTTTTTTTTGTCTATAGCATAACTTGAAGACTAATAATTGGAATTCAATACAACTTCATACAATGATCAAGCACATTGAAAGGAAGTGCAGTGCACAAGAACCATAACTTCATTTTGAATACTTACAGAGTTATTGCACTTTGTTTACTTTTCCTTGTCTGGAGCCTAACTCACGCCCGTTTAACTCACAACGAGTGAAAAATGTCCATCGGTAAAAATGTTGTGAGCAACTTCCGTTCCTCGTTGTGAGCACCCATCTTTGACGTGTGACACGATAAACAAGGTGAGTTTTTCATAATTTTTGAAGATTACAGACATTTATGTAAAAATATCGAAATGCAGTTAGCTAGCGATGTGTTTTCCGAGTATGCACATGTAAAGATATTGCCTGTTGGTGGACAATTTGATGGAAATACCGTGCGACGCAGTCACTCGGGGTAGCTGGAAAACTGGAGACAACTTCTCTTTGGACCTAATTTAACATTGAAAAAGTCGATTCTGGTGACATTTTGTGCATTCTAACCTAAAACAGATGCCCACAAGTCTTCAGCGTAAATTATTATCTGAAAGTCTTCATAGAAACGAAGATATACCCTTTTTTGCTTTAATCCTCGTTGTGAGCACCATAACCTCGTTGTGAGCAAGACAAGCGCAGTGGGTGTATGGTTTTAATATGTAATTCAGATGGTGAAAATATAATTTTCAATCTACCACAGCAATTAAAACGTTTTTGCACAGCAGCATTTCTTTGCAAGACGTTGTGCATACCCCAAAGGGAGGCATATTAGTTTTGAACTGTCCGTCTGTCAGTCCGTCAATCTGTCCGAAAACATTAACATTGACCATAACTTCCTTATAAGTAAACGGATTTGATTCATATTTGAACACAACATCCCTTAGCACCTTCCTACGGACCTGTATTTTTTTACCTTGACCCCTGAATGGGCCTTTACCTTGAAGGTCAAATTGTCCAAAAACATTTAAGATTGGCCATAATGTCCTGGCATAATGTTTAGGCACAACACATCTTTGGACAAGGCCTTTCAACTATCCCATATTCTTTTGACCTTGTCCCCTGAATGACCTTCACCTTGAAGGTCAAATTGTCCAAAAACTTAAAAATTGGTCATAACTTCCTTATTAGTATACGGATTCTACTCATATTTTGAAACAACACCCCTTTAGACTGATCTGTATTTTTTTACCTTTAACCGTGAATGACCTTCTAGAACATCCAAAAACTTTAACATTGGTCATAACTTCTTTATAAGTAAGTGGAATTAATTCATATTTGGACACAATCCCCTTTGGACAAGACCTTCCCACTGACCTATATTTATTTCACCTTGACATTGAATTACCTTCACATTGAAGATCTAGTTGTCCAAAAACAAATAATCTATCTGCTCCATAAATCAAAGGACAAAGCACCACGTCAGGCGCATTGTCAACTTACCGTGATAGTTCTTGTTTTACATAACTTGGTCAGTCTTCAGCTCAGGATAAACACATATATGTGTGTATCACACAGATTGTGAAATTGTTGAAATATTCATAAACACCCCGTGATGTTCACTCGTGCCACACTAGAGTATACGAAATAAAATACCTGATTAACCTCCACTGATTAGTTCTTCTGTTAATCTGATGACTTGTGAATATGAAGGATAATTTTCAAAAAAGAAAAAGAAGAACTATTGCAAAGAAAAACTATTGTACAAAAACGTTTTGATTGCTTTTGGTAGATTGAAAATTGTATTCTTGCCATTTGAATTACATATTAAAACCAGACAAGCACTGCGCTTGTCTTGCTCACAACGAGGTTATGGTGCTCACAACGAGGATTAAAGCAAAAAAGAGTATATCTTCGTTTCTACGAAGACTTTCAGATAATAATTTACGCTGAAGACTTGTGGGCATCTGTTTTAGGTTAGAATGCACAAAATGTGACCAGAATCGACGTCTTCAATGTTAAATTAGGTCCAAAGAGAAGTTGTCTCCAGTTTTCCAGCTACCCCGAGTGACTGCGTCGCACGGTATTTCCATCAAATTGTCCACCAACAGGCAATATCTTTACATGTGCATACTCGGAAAACACATCGCTAGCTAACTGCATTCCGATATTTTTACATAAATGTCTGTAATCTTCAAAAATTATGAAAAACTCACCTTGTTTATCGTGTCACACGTCATAGATGGGTGCTCACAACGAGGAACGGAAGTTGCTCACAACATTTTTACCGATGGACATTTTTCACTCGTTGTGAGTTAAACGGGCGTGTAACTTGAAAAGTACTGATTGGAATTCAATATAACTTCATATAATGGTCAAGTACATTGAGAAAAAGTGCAGTGCACAAGAACCATTTCTCCTTTTTGACAAATTACAGAGTTATTGCCCTTTATTACTTTTCCTTGTACCGCCTCCGTGATCGAGGGGTTAGCGTCAATGACTTCTAATCCAGTTACCTCTCTGGCGTGGGTTCGATCCCCGGGAGATGCTTTGGTAGTTTAGCGCGGAGGAAGGTTGTCTAGTACTGGTGTAACTCTCCAGGAACGATGGTTAGGAAACAACCCGCCTATATGACTGAAATAATGTTGGGTAAAGGCATAAAATGAAACAAACAAACAAACAAAACTTTTCCTTGTCCGGAGCATAATTTGAAAAGTACTGGTTGGAATTCAATACAACTTCATACAATGGCCAAGCACAATAAGAGGAAGTGCAGTGCACAAGAACCATAACTCTATCTAAAGTAATATCAGAGTTATTGCCTTTTGCTACTTTTCCATTGCTTTTTTTGTCCGGAGCATAACTTGAAGACTAATGGTTGGAATTCAATACAACTTCATACAATGATCAAGCACATTGAGCACAAGAAACATAGCTCCATCTTGACTAATTACAGAGTTATTGCTCTTTGTTTACTTTTCCTTGTCTGGAGCATAACTTGAAAAGTACTGGTTGGAATTCAATACAACTTCATACAATAGTCAAGTACATTGAGACGAAATGCAGTGCACAAGAATCATAACTCCATCTTGACTAATTACAGAGTTATTGCCCTTTTTAACTTTTCCATCCAGAGCATAACTTGAAAACTACAAGTTGGAATTCAATACAACTTAATACAATGGTCAAGCACATTGAGAGGAATACAGTGCACAAGAACCATAACTCCATATTGACTAATTTACTAATAACGAGTTATTGCCCTTTGATATTTTTTCTTGTCCAAAGCATAAATTGTAAAGTATTGGTTGGAATTCAAAACAAATTAATACAATGGTCAAGCACAATAAGAGGAAGCGCAGTGCACAAGAATCATAACTCTATTTGGACTAATTACATATTTATTGCCCTTTGTTACTTTTTTGTCTAGTGCATCACTTGAAAACTACTAGTTGGAATTCAATACAACTTCATACATAGTCAAGGGCAATGAGAGAAATTGCAGTGTACAATAACCATAACTGCATCTTCAGTATTTGCAGAGTTAGTGCCCTTTGTTCCTTTTCCTTGTCTGGTCCATAACTTAAAAACGGATGTTTGGAATTCAATGCAACTTCATACAATGGTCAAGGGCAATGAGAGGAAGTGCAGTCACAACTATCTTTAATTGCCCACAACCATAACTCTAATTCAATTCGTTTACAAGGTATACCTCATTTCCGAAGCAGTCTTGTGGGGGTATTAATCACATTTAGTTGAAAAAGAGTGATTATAAAAGTATGCATAGAAAGTTCCTTTATTGATAATGCAAGGTTCAAAAAGAAAGTGAGAACAATATAAGAGGTTGGGCAGGGTTTTAATATAAGCTTGCATACTCGCAAAAAGCATGTGCGTTTTGAAAAATTATGATTTTGTCTTGACTGGCAAACTTTTGTGAGTCAGTTTGTAAACTAAAAGTAGAGTGTACCTGCAGTACGCACATCAGCAGGATTTTAAAACATTTTCACTACTTCAAAGTTATGTAAATTCCAGAATAAAATGTACAGATGAAAGGTATTGAATATGTTTAGAGCCAGCCTCCCCTGCCTCATCACATTTAACCTGCAAAATTGTAAATTCTGTTCTATTTTGATGAATAAACACACACTAAATGCTATTGATAGTGTTTGATTTTTGCATAATTTGCAAACAAGTTCATGGATGATGCAAGGTGAAAATTTGAAATGGGCGTCAATGGATGAGTGGTTAATGTCCTTAACTTCCTACCACTTTCCCCTCACCACTGTAGGTTAGAATCCTGCCAAAGACTTTTGATTCTTTCATGTGAGGAAGGAATCCAGTTAGCTTAGGGAATGCAGTTGTTCTACTCTGGTGCCCAATCGTGCCTGAAATAATGCATGTAGGGGCACCTGGGGTCTCTTTAACAAGTAAAGCTGGAAAGTTGCCATATGACCTCTACTGTGTTGGTGCAACATAAAACCCAACCAAAATAAAATGAAAATAATTTGAAACCTTGGAAATTAAATTCTCATTTTACCAGCTAAAATATTTAGATTTGTGGTTCTTAATAAAATAAGTTCAAAAATTGCCCAGCTTGGAGTCACTTAGTTAACATAATTATAGTAATATGGGAAAACGTATTTAAATGTAAAACTGCATGTGCTAGAGTTAAGATATTGTGAACAATGCAGCAATGGACCTCTTCAAAAGTTGATGTATAGTATAAATCATGCCCCAGTGATAGAGACACATTTATTATATTGACTTGTGTAGTAATCATGTCCTAAGACTCTACAATGCCACAAGCTTAGATATTTGGTCATATAGCATGACAGTGAAGCCATCTATAAAACTTATATAAATCATAAAAAGTTCCAGACCAGTTTATTGATATTAATTGATATGATAAATTGTAAATTACAGGCGGCTTATTGGATGTTGACCTACATTTTGACCAATGAAAATGTCCAAAAGAAAGTGTTAGCGGAGTTGAATGATGTATTCAAGGATTTCAAAGGTACTGTTCGTAACAAACAAGATATCACTGTTTGTTTTTGTAATGGATTTGCCTTGCCAACCATTACAAAGTTTAAGTGTTTTTAATATCAGAATACAAAAATTAAGCTACCAGCAGTATAGAGTGTTATCAAACTGCACAGTTGTAAAGGCTGGCCTGCCTCGGTACTGGTGGTAATAGTGACTTCACATTCAAGCAGATTTATGGGTTTAAGAATAAATTTTTTTATGTTATTCTGTATCAAAAATATAAATGAGTAACTTTACTCTGGAGGAGTCATGGTAAAAGATGAATCTTTTTGAAAAAATAAGGTTGTGATTTGGTAGATACCCACTTGAAGATGTTTCATGCTAAATATCTTAGCTCTAGCTCTTTGGGTTTTTTTAAAAAAAAAAATTAAGTTTTTATTATATACATAAAGGGAAAAACAATGACCCCCCTGAGGTGGGGCCAATTTTAACCCTAGGGCTTTTATTTGATTAAACTTGTAGACACCCACTAGAAGATGTTTCATGCTTTATATCCAAGTTCTAGCTATTTTGGTTTTTTAAAAGAAGATTTTTTAAGTTTATACAATATACAAATAAGGAAAATCAATGACTTCCTGGGGTGGGGCCAATTTTTACCCCAGGGCTTTTAATTGAACTTGATAAAAGAAGATTTTTTAAGTTTTTACTACATATCTGCAAATGATGTTTGATATTTGATTGATTGTTACAATCTACAGGTTGAAGATTGTATGAAGAACAATGACTTCACAAATTTTGATAAATACCTGTTATCAAGTCCTAAAACATTTAGTTTTACCATATTAGGAAGTATTGTTAGATATGAAATGATTTATTGCTAGCTATGACATACCATATAGATAAACTACTTCAGAAATCAGGTATGAAAAGAATGAATCATTTTAAACTGTTCATAGCTATATTTAGAATGATTTCTAATATGAATGAAACTTACTATTGCCTTATAAGTGTATTTTGAATATGTAATATTTATTTATATCTTTACTTTGATAACGAATGGAAACAAATTTGCATGATGATGCATACATTTTTAACTCACCTGTCACAAAGTGACATGGTGAGCTTTTGTGATCGCTTTTTGTCCGGCGTCCCATCGTCCATCTGTCCGTAAACTTTCTCCTCATAAACTGCTAAGCCAATTTCATCCAAACTTCACAGGTATGTTCCTTTGGTAGTCAACTATAAAAATTGTTCAAAGAATTTAATTCCAAGCAGAACTTTGGTTGCCATGGCAACCAAAAAAAAACTTAAAAAATCTTCTTTTAGAAAACCGAAAAAGCTAGAGCTAAAATATATGGCATGAAACATCATCTAGTCAGTGTCTACTAAGTTTGTTCAAATAAATGCCCTGGGGTCAAAATTGGCCCCGTCCTGGGGGGGTCATTGATTTTCCTTATTTGTATAAAGTAAAAACTTAAAAAATCTTCTTTTAAAAAACCCAAATAGCAAGAGCTTAGATATTAAACATGAAACATCTTCTAGTGGGTGTCTACCAAGTTTGTTCAATTAAAAGCCCTAGGGTAAAAATTGGCCCCGCCCCTGGGAGTCATTGATTTTCCTTATTTGTATATAGTAAAAACTTAAAAAATCTTCTTTTAAAAAACCAAAATAGCTAGAGCTTAGATATAAAGCATGAAACATCTTCTAGTGGGTGTCTACCAAGTTTGTTCAAATAAAAGCCCTAGGGTTAAAATTGGCCCCGCCTCAGGGGGTCATTGTTTTTCCCTTTATGTATATAATAAAAACTTAAAAAATCTTTTTAAAAAACCCCAAAGAGCTAGAGCTAAGATATTAAGCATGAAACATCTTCTAGTGGGTGTCTATCAAATTTGTTCAAATAAAAGTCCTTGGGCTAAAATTGGCCCGGCCCAGGGGGACATTGTTTTTCCCTTTATGTGTATAGTAAAAACTTAAAAAATCTTTTAAAAAAAAACCAAAAAGCTAGAGCTAAGATATTTAGCATGAAACATCTTTTAGTGGGTGTCTTCTAAATTTGTTCAAATAAAAGCCCTTGGGTTTAAATTGGCCCGTGGTCATTGTTTTTCCCTTTATGTGTATAGTAAAAACTTAAAAAATCTTCTTATAAAAACCCTAAAGAGCTAGAGCTTAGATATTTATCATGAAACATCTTCTAATGGGTGTCTACCAAGTTTGTTCAATAAAAGCCCGTGGTTTAAAATTGGTCTTGGCCTAGGGGCCTTTATACAGGTGAACGATTTCAGGGCCATCATGGCACTCTTGTTTGAAGGTTATAATTGGTAAAACATGCTATTCAAGTTCCTATGCTTTTCTGTAATGTTATGTTAAAATCCTTTAACCCATAGCCTGCTGGCAGAAAATGATTCTACACATGGCACCAGTGCAGACCAAGGTTAGCTGACACATCTGTGCCTTCTGATCAACGTCTGCACTGTTCTCTATACAGTCAGTACATATTGTAAAATAACTATGATGAATGTTTATATTGTCCATATTACACATATTACAAAGACAGAAAATTCTATTAAAGATATTAAGCATGGTTAGGGTAAAAGTTATAAAAGCCCAGTTTTGAATTTTGAAGTTAAAGTGGTTGCAATATCAAAAGTCAGCTGTGCTGACTGATGGTGTCTCTATATTGGGGGCAAGGGCTAATTACAATATAAATGTAATCACTTGATTCCAACAGATCACAGGGTATAACAGTATCTTTGTTACTGAACACAAATTGATACATCTACATTTTGGGAGACAAATTGTTTTTGCCTTAGCTGTCTGTCCCTCCACCCGGATTAGATATTATAGGGATAGGGTTTGTGTACAGTTTAACATTATGAGGTTCATTCTGTATAAACTTAGTTCTTGGGTTAAAAAAAGAGCATATGGTGTTAAAGGATATCAGAAGATCAGATGAACTACAATGTCTATCACAAAACAATGTAGGTCCACATTAAGCTCGTTCGGCTTTCACAGGTCAAGCTTTGGGTGGGATTTTGATGAAACTTCACAGGATTGATAAGTTCTCCATATTGCCATCATGTTTTACTTTGCTGCACAAAATGGCCACTAGAGATTAGAGATGGTCAAATTGCTTGAGGGAATTTGATGAAACTTCACATGAGTGATCAGTACTAACCCTACTTGTGCATATCCCTGGGATGTTCTGCTTCACTGCATAATGGTCACCAGAGCTAAAAATAGAAAATTCTTGTCTGGCTTTCACAGATGAAACTTCAGCTGACGGGAATTCAACAAAATATAATAGGGGTGATCAGTGCCAATCCTAGTTGTGCATATTTCTGGCATGTTAAGATTTGCTGCAAAAATGATCACAAGAGCTAAAACTAGAAAAACCCAAGTGAAACTGCTGGCAATTCAGCGAAAATTCACAGGATTGATTAGTACCAGCCGTTGCTGTGCATATAGCTGGCACATTCTGCTTCACTGTACAAAATCAGGGTTTCTATTGACGCACATTTCCTGCGTCCTTGACGCAAAAATAGTAACCTAGGACCCTCAATTACTCTAAGTGTGCGTCCATGGGGACGCAAATTAAATTTTCCTCCGTAAATATCATTTGGAAATTCCTTCCGCTTCTTTAAAGGAAATGACGTAATTTGGTAGACGGGTTCTAATATTGAATACAGCAGAGTTATCTTTCTTGCAATTAATTACAGTTAAATACGGAATAAAACGGCGCACACTAGAATTTAGTCGACCTTAAAAAAGCGCCCCAGTCTATGCGTTTTTTGTTCTAAAATAAATCGTAAAACATGTCGGCTGCTCCCCCAATTTTAATGAAAAGTGGCTAAGTTAACTTACCCGTGGCTCGTCCAAAACGAGACGACCACGGATATGAAATGCAGCCATTGCGTCTCAACCAAACAATGTAATCCATTTGCCTCGGAAAATGGATGTTTGAACTTCCAAAATAGTAGATACAAAATAAATTGTCCGTCATCAAGACGTATGTCGGACCAGATGTGAAAGATCTTGACTTTATGCAAGTTGCACAAACATTCAGCCAAATGAAAGAAATGAAAAAATAAAAAGTAACAATAAATAATAAATAGTTTATATTTTTTATTTTATTTAACAAGGTCAATAAAAATGCATATGTAGTTGAACAATGTATATAAATGTAAAGAATTAAACCTAGACAATATATATAAGTAATACCTTACTTTAAAGTAATAAATGATTAGGACCCTCATATTTTTCTCTGGGACCCTCATATTTTATGAGCACGAGTCCCTGGGACTCTTAAATAAAAATTCCTAGTAGAAACCCTGCAAAATGACCACTAGAGTAAAAATAGAAAAAAACTTGTCTGACTTTCATAGTTAAACTGCTGGTGCTATTCCTTCCTTACAGTACATATATGGGAGACATATGTTTTTTCAACAAAAAGCCCTTCTAGTTAAATAAAACATTCTCAGAATATTCCTGACCACTTGAGAATTGGTATAAGCAATTTTGTTCTAATACTCATACTAAAGTCTTGAGTTACTAAAACTTTTGTAAAGTCTGCATTTCAAGTTTGCCACTTTAAGCAAATTGGTAATTACTGATAAGTTATCTATGAAAGCCAGTTAAGAGGATCAACAGCCAAGATGTGACAGAAATGTGTAAAAATCTGTGTAAAATCCACAAAAACAAATAAAGCCCAAATTTCTGATTTTCTTTAATTTCATAAAAATATTCAATTGATAATGAAAGGTTTTTTATATGACAGGGAAAAATGGAAGCTGTATAAAGGAAGCAGACTTGAAGAAGCTGAAGTATCTACATTGCTGTGTGTATGAGACAATTAGAATTAGAAGTGAGGGAATCATTGGTAGAAAAGTGGTTAGAGATACCAAGATAAAGGTAAAAAAAAACACATGGAACATGTTCCATTGATTAGTAGAAAACAGAGATATGTGGCTGTCATTAAATATTGGGTTATCGGTATATCATTGTTATTTAACATTTGATTCAATATAGATTCACATTTTCGAATATGGATACAATTTATCTTAAAGTACCTAATCTCACACCCAACCTATTCTCAAACCTTTTATTCATGAGCTGTTATTTATTTACTAGAAGTGACTATGATGTCCTCAACTTGTGTGCATTAAAGCTTAGATTCTGACAGACATGTATGCAGCTGTTAAATTAAAACAGTGCATAGTAAGGAATATTTACATTAAATATGTCTTATTACTTAGCATAATTTCATACAAATTGGTAATACCTTTGTAAGTCCTGTAAATACACCATTAACTATTTGTAAAAATGAATATTATAGACAAAAATATCTTAAAGCAGGTACCTGCATCCTGTATGGTATTTCATTGTCATGTGATATTCATATGACAATCACTTCATTGGCTAAACTAAACAGTAGAATTTAGAGATACTTGAAGGGGTTTGAGATTAGGTTCTTTCTTTTAAGAGGCCATGTCAGTTTTACAAAAGAGGGTTGTGCTTTTCCAAGATGGAAATGGAGCTTTTTTAATTGATGAATTTCAGTCAAATTTTACAGGAATGTTACATAAAGATTAAAGTGTACATATGTAAAGAATTTTCATAAAGATATATTCTTAATTATACTAAAAGACCTCTTGAATGCTTAGAGGTTTGAAAGTGGTTTGTCCACGATAAAACCCATTTTCCCTATCTTGCAGACATCTCCCTATTTTGTTTGAAGAGAGATAGAAAATACATGGTTGATGTCAGGATGGAGAAGGTTTATCCGGTGAGCGAGAAAGTGTATCTTGGCGAGCTTTAGCGAGCCAAGATTCACTTTCGCAGCGAACCGGATAAACCTTCTCCACCCCGACATCAACCATGTATTTGATTTATCCTGCTTTTTATCATGTTTTAAGAATAATTAAATGGTTTCATTCTTCTTTTTCCCCGATAAAATAGCATCTAAATGCAGTTTTGTTTTGCTGCTAAACATGCGACGTCATCATGTGACGTAGAGTAATGACTGGAGATAGATTATAAGAATCTTACACCAGCTGCCGGTACAGACTGGAAGATCTAGCTCGAGGGTGACTGTTTACGGCGGTAACGAGGCTCTGCCGAGTTACCACTAAACAGTTACCCGAGAGCTAGATATTCCCGTCTGTACCAACAGCCGGTGTTTGATTCTTTTTCTTGCATATTACATATCAATTATTTTCAGAACAGAAATTACGAAAACTGATATTTTCATTACGCACCTTTTTCTTATGGTAGCGTATGAACTTACAACTTCATTCATAACGGTTAAGTGACGTCATCCTAAGAACGTAATTCATTCATAAAAGGCGCGCAGCAATGACGTCATTTAAAGCACGCCACTTGTCTTACATGGGGGGGTGTAAGACAGAGTTTTCTAGCACTGGTGTAAACGGAAGATAATCCTGTCTGATATGCAAGAAAAGTTTATCCGGCAAGGCTTTATCCAGCTGATGATATAGACAGTAGCAGGATAAAAGTCTCTTCTTTCCCAGTTTGAGTTTCTTGACTAGCTATAATTTTGATAGGTCAGTGAGACATTATAACAAGAAAATATACTTTCTCTTATTTATTGTTGTATTTTAGATGACTATAACAAGAATGTATGAAACTTTAATTGAAAAAAATGATACTGTATATTTACTTAAATGCAGTATAGCAAAATGATAACATGATAATAATAGAGTAATTTTTGTTCAATCATGTAAGGGAAGTTACTATTTACAGGGATTCCATGTTGCTGCTGGATCAATGCTGATGATCTCCCCTTATTTAACCCACCGTGATGAAAGATATTTTGAAGATCCTGAAGTATTTAAGCCAGAAAGATGGGCGGATGGAAACTTTGAGAAACCAGGCTTTGTGGCTTTCGGTGGTGGTAGATACCAATGTCCAGGAAGGTTAGTATGCTGTAGTCATATTAATCATAATTTAATTTTAGCTATTGAGAGTTTTCAAGTTGTATTGTGATTCCTATGTCAACTTAAGATAGAGAAAAATGTTTAACTGTTAGCTTTAATATGTTATTTGATTGCCTGAAACATGAATATGTATTTTATGTTTACAGATGGTTTGGTATGATGAGTATGCAAACATTTGTTACAATGTTTTTTCTCAAGTACACTTTCAAAGTACATAGTTTGGCTCCAATTCCTGTAAGTTTCTTTTTGCATTTGGATTTTATGTTACACTATCTCTAGAAAGGTAAAATTGCTTCTTTTGGGCTTGGCTGATGGAGAAAGACCTTTTACCAAGTGTAAAATATGTTTACTTGAAAAGAAAATTGATTTACACTCATACAAATAAACTCATCAAAATATTACATCCTCTGTTCACTCTGTAAATATTTAGATATTCCATGGAAACATACATCCTTTATGTTAATCAGACAAACAGAATATTGATATTTATATGGTTAGATTTTTTAGTCATATTTATTTGTAATATTGTTGCAGTGAATGCAAACTAACGACAGAATTGTAACTGAGTTGTAAAATTGAAAAAAGAATTCTAAGAGTGATTATTAAGTATAAGGGAAATAGCATTTCAACAAGAGTTACTTCTCTTTGATCAAAGTCAAGACATTTGTTTGCCTTTTTCAGAACATGAGTCATCTGATAGGAGTACAACATCCACTGTCAGAGTTTCTGGTTTCATGCAGTGAGAGGAAATAATTATTACTATGTCTTGCAGAAAAAAATACTTTTTTCAGGATCATTTCTAAATGATGAATAATATTGGCTGGCACAACATAAGAGTTTACTGTCACATATGTTAATATGTCATTATTGTTGTTGTAAAGTTCTTGATTATGTTATAATGTTTTGTTGTTCACATTATGAGTTTACTTGTTAAAGTTTATTTCTGTTGTTATAATATTTAATTATGATGTTCTTAGAATTACATTAAGAGTATTGATAGAACTATTTTATTATGCCACCGCAGCATCTGCGATGCGGTGGCATATAGCGATTCACCTGTGTGTGTGTTTGTTTGTGTGTGTGTGTGTTATATAGATTATATAGTGAACTTAAAAAATCTTCTTGTGAAAAACCACTAGTCCAATTTCAACCAAACTTGGCAGGATTGATCCTTGGGTGAAGGGCTTCCAAAGTTGTTCAAAGAATTACATTCCATGCAGAAATCTGGTTGCCATGGCAACCAAAAGAAATTATAAGAATAAATTAAAAAAATCTTCTTGTAAAGACCCAAAAGGCCTAGAGCTTAGATATTTTGCATAACGCATTGTCTGGTAGACCTCTACCAAGACTGTTCAAATTATAGCCCTGGGGGTCAAAATCGGCCCCGCCCTGGGGGTCATTGATTTTCACTATATGTACATGTAGTAAAAACCTAAAATACCTTCTTGTAAAGACCCAAAAGGCCTAGAGCTTAGATATTTTGCATAAGGCATTGTCTGGTAGACCCTTACCAAGATTGTTCAAATTATAGCCCTGGGGGTCAAAATCGGCCCCACCCCGGGGTCATTGATTTTCACTATTTGTTCACATAGTAAAAACTTAAAATACCTTCTTTTAAAGACCCAAAAGGCCAAGAGCTTAGATATTTTGCATAAGGCATTGTCTGGTAGACCTCTACCAAGATTGTTCAAATTATAGCCCTGGGGTCAAAATCGGCCCCGCCCCGGGGTTCATTGGTTTTCCTTAAATGTATATAGTAAAAACTTTAAAAAAAATTCTTCAAGCAATTGACAAATGCTGGAGGTTAGATGTTTTGCATGAAACATTGTGAAGTGAACTTCTAGAAAGATTGTTCAAATTATAGCCCTGGGATCAAATTGCCCCCGTCCTGGGGGTCATTGATTTTCAATATATACATATAGTAAAAAGTCAAAAATCTTATTGTCTGAAGGTACAAGGCTAAGAGCTTTGATATTTGTTAAATAATATCATCTATAGGTACTCTACCAAAGTTGTTCAAATTTTGCCTCTAGTGTCAAAATTAGCCCCGCCCCGGGGGCAATAGGTTTTCCTTATATGTATATAGTAAAAACTTACAAAATCATCTTCTCTAAATTTACAAAGGCTAAAGTTAAGATATTTTGCAAGAAACATTATGTAGTGAACCTCTAGTAAGATTGTACAAATTATAGCCCTGGGGTCAAAATTGGCCCCACCCCCAGGGGTCATTGATTTTCACTATGTACATATAGTAAAAAATTAAAAAATCTTCTTGTCTGAAGGTACAAGGCTTAGAGCTTTGATATTTGGTATATAATATCATCTATGAGTCCTCTACTAAAGTTGTTTTAATTATGCCCCTAGTGTTAAAATTACACTGCCCCAGAAGCGATAGTTTTCCTTATAAGATAAAGTAAAAACTTGAAAATCTTCTTCTCTGAATTGAAAAATCTTCTTCTCTGAATTGACAAAGATTAGAGGTTAAATATATGGCATGAGACTTTGCAAAGTGAACCTTTACCAAGATTGTTCAAATAATTGCCCGGGGGTCATTGATGTTCATTATGTACATATAGTAAAAGATAAAAAATATTTTTGTCTGAAGGTACAAGGCATAGAGCTTATAATGCGGTGGCATAGCATTTTTCTCAAATGCAATCTTGTTTTGTTTAAGTTTTATCTTTTCTTTGTTTTCATTGATTTAAGTTATTAGATTTTATATGCAGTTTTGAAAGTAAAACAGTTTTAGATTAATATTTCTATGGAAACATTGATATACCTTTACTTTCCCAGAGTTTATCCTATAATTACAGTATATTTGCCATGAATGTTTCTTACATGAATTACAGGAAGTCACTATAAATGGTTGATACAAACATACCGTTATATAAAGTGGCAATGGGTTGAGTTATTTATACCTTCCTTGTTCCAAAACTAAGACCAAAAAATGTTTTAAAAAAAATCAAATTAATATTTTTCTATCCAATAACAAGATAATATCCAGTTAGTTGGACCCTTCCTTTACCCAGCATTAGATGTAAAAAGCCATAGATATAAGTACATTTAGAAAAGTTTCTTTTTGAATTTAAACATAATGATATTGAGCAACATACCAAAAACAAAAAAAATGGTTATTAAAAGTAATTGTTGTGTATGGTTACATAGTTGTACTGTTCTTAAATTGATCATAACAAGTAAATTACTATTTTGCAAGAAAAAATTAAAAATCATGAATCTTAAAATTATAACGAAATTTAAAATTTCTTGCCAGTTCTAATTTTTTTTATCCCTTAGAACCATTTCGAAACACATAGAAAATGCTATTTAATATTTTAGTTATAACTTATTGAACTACTTTTTTAGGCCAATTAAATTGGTTGTAATGTTAATTGCTCTTTCTTTGATTTCTTTATTAATAGTGAACTTTGTTTATTTAATAATGTACTTATAAGTATCAATTTTTAGCTTGACTATTCGCAGAATAATAAAGCTAATGCAGTTACCCATTTGTCGGCGTCGGAGTCCCTGTGGTTAATTTTTTGCGTGTAAGCTGGTATCTCCATAACTACTGAAGGGAATGGATTGAAACTTCACACACTTGTTCTCTGTGATTATCTTACATGATTGGCACAAGTCCCATATCTCTGGTTTGCTTTTTTGCATAACTATGCCCCTTTTTCGACTAAGAAATTCTTGGTTAAGTTTTTGCGTGTAAGCAAGTATCTCCATAACTACTGAAGGGAATGGATTGAAACTTCACACACTTGTTCTCTGTGATTATCTTACATGATTGGCACAAGTCCCATATCTCTGGTTTGCTTTTTTGCATAACTATGCCCCTTTTTCGACTAAGAAATTCTTGGTTAAGTTTTTGCGTGCAAGCTGGTATCTCCATAACTACTAAAGGGAATGGATTGAAACTTCACACACTTGTTCTCTGTGATTATTTAACATGATTGGCACATCCCATAACTCTGATTTGCTTTTTTGCATAATAATGCCCCTTTTTTCAACTTAGAAATTCTTGGTTAAGTTTTTGCGTGTAAGCAAGTATCTCCATAACTACTGAAGGGAATGGATTGAAACTTTACACACTTGTTCTCTGTGATTATCTTACTTGATTGGCACAAGTCCCATAAGTCTTCATATTTAGCTTTGAGGTTAGTCATGATGAGTAGATGACCCCTATTGAATTTGAGGTCACTGGATTAAGGTCACAAGGGCCTTGACTTCAAAAAACTTGTTCGCCCAATTACTTAAGATTCCTTTGCACAGTCTTCATATTTGGCATGGAGGCTAGTCATGATGAGTAGATGACCCCTATTGATTTTGAGGTCACTGGATCAAAGGTCAAGGTCACAGGGGCCTTGACTTCAAAAAGCTTGCCCACCCAATAACTTTAGAATCCTTTGACCTACAGTCTTCATATTTGGCATGGAGGTTGAGCATGATCATTAGGTGACCCCTTTTGACTTTGAAGTCAATGGATCAAAGGTCAAGGTCACAGGGGCCTTGACTAAAAAAGCTTGTCCACTCAATTGCTTAAGAATGCTTTGGTCAACAGTCTTGACATATTTGGTATTGAGGTTGTTTATGATTAGTAGATGACCCCTTTTGATTTTTAGGTGACTGTATGAAAGGTCAAGGTCACAGGGATTTTACTATAATAAGCTTGTCCGCTCAAATGCTTAAGAATGCCTGTCCCCAGTGTATTGATTTTCACATTTGAAGCATGTAGAATACATAACTTAGCAATGCACTGGCTTAGTAACCTTAGATTTGGCAGGGAGTTTGTCCTTGAGCTCTAAAGGGCCACTGTTAATTCTGTCAAAGTGGTATGCGGGGGTATTCAGGCCATTACATCGGCAGTTCGAGTTTATTTTGATTGCATTATTATACCCTCGCACAACAAAGTTGTAAGGGGGGTATACTGGAATCAGATTGTCTGTCGGGCTTCAGTCGTTTTTTTCTTATCCGCCAAATAACTTGAGATTGATTTTGAGGTCAAAGGTTACAGGAACTTGACTTCAAAAAGCTTGTTCGCCCAATTACTTAAGATACCTTTTACCCACATTCTTCACATTTGGTATGGAGGTTTGTCATGATTAGTAGATGACCCTTATTGATTTTGAGGGCACTGGGTCAAAGGTCAAGGTCACAGGGGCCTTGACTTCAAAAAGCTTGTCCACCCAATAACTTAAGATTCCTTTGACCCACAGTTTTCATATTTGGCATGGAGGTTAGTAATGATTAGTGGATGACCCCTATAAGGGGCCTTGACTTCAACAAGCTTGTCCGCCCAATTACTTAAGATTCATTTGACCCACAGTCTTCATATTTTGCATGGACATTAATTATGATTAGTAGATGACCCCTATTGATTTTGAGGTCAAAGGTCAAGGTCACAGGAACTTTACTTCAAAAAGCTTGTCCGCCCAATAACTTAAGATTTCTTTGACCCACAGTCTTCACATTTGGCATGGAGTTTGTCATGATTAGTAGATGACCCCTTTTGATTTTTAGGTCACCAGGTCAAAAGCAAGGTCACAGGGGCCTTGACTGAAAAAATTATGTCCGCCCAATAACTAGAATCCTTTGACCCACAGACTTCATATTTAGCATGGAGGTTAGTCATGATTAGTAGATGACCCCTATTGATTTTGAGGTCAACAGGTCAAGGTCACAGGGGCCTTGATTGAAAAAAGCTTGTCTGCCCAATAACTTAAGAATCCTTTGACCCACAGTCTTCATATTTGGCATGGAGGTTAGTCATGTTTAGTAGATGACCCTATTGATTTTGAGTTCACCATGTCAAAAGTCAAGGTCACAGGGGCCTTGACTGAAAAATATTGTCTGCCCTTAACTTAAGATTCATTTGACCCACAGTCTTCATATTTGGCATGGAGGTTAGTCAGGATTAGTAGATGACTCCTATTGATTTTGAGGTCAAGGTCACAGGGGCCTTGACTGAAGAAAGCTTGTCTGCCCAATAACTTTAGTTTCCTTTGACCTACAGTCTTTAGATTTGGCATGGATGTTATTCATGATTAGTAGATGACCCTTATTATCCCCCGCCGAAAATTTTTCGGCGGAGGATATAGAAATAGTCTCCGTCCGTCCGTCCGTCCGACCTTCCGTCCAACATTTTTGTCCGGAGCATATCTCTAAAAGTATTTGAGTTATCAACTTGAAACTTCATAGGTGGATAGACCTCATTGAGGAGGAGTGCAGTGCACAAGAATGATAACTCTACCTTGCATGATTTTTGAGTTATTGCCCTTTGTTATTTTTCAAAATTGATTTTTGTCCAGAGCATAACTCCAAAAGCCTATGAGATATTAACATGAAACTTCATAGGTGCATAGATCTCACTCAGGAGGTGTGCAGTGCACATGAATGATAACTCTACCTTTCATAATTTTTGAGTTATTGCCCTTTGTTATTTTTCATACATAATTTTTCACCTGAGTGGATCATAACTCAAAAAGTGTTTGAGATATCAACATGAAATGTCATAGGTGGATAGATCTTATTGAGGAGGAATGTTGTGCGCAAGAATGATAACTCTTCCCTATACAATTTTTGAGTTATTGCCCTTTGTTTTTTTTTCATGCTATTTTGTCCAGAGCTTACTCAAAAAGTATTTGAGGTATCAACTTGAAACTTCAAAGGTGGATGGATCTCATTGAGGAGGAGTGCAGTGCTTAAGAATGATAACTCTACCCTGCATTATTTTTGAGTTATTGCCCTTTGTTATTTTTCAAAATTAATTTTTGTCCAGAGCATAACTCAAAAAGCCTTTGAGATATCAAAATGAAACTTCTTAGGTGCATAATCTCATCAGGGGGTGTATGCACAAGAAGAAAACTCCCCCTTTTATAATTTTTAGATTGCCCTTTTTTTTTTTTCATATTAAAATTTTCAATTCAATTTTTTCTCAAAAAGTTTTTGGGGTATAAACTTAAATTAAAGGTGATGTTTTCTAGGGGGGATGAGCCCCAAAAAAGAATTTAAAACCTCCCTGCATTTTTTTTCTTTATTGCCCTTTTTATTTTCCCATCATTTCCAATTTTTCAAATCTGTAATTTTCCTAGCACATTTTTCTTAAAAAAGCCTTTTAAAAAAAAAATTTCTTTTCACACATATACTTTTTCCCAAAATGAGCAAAAAATTCGGGGGGGATGCCTGTTAAGGCTTTTTATTTTTAGTCAGCAAGTAAAATAAAGGACCGGGCCTTGACTGATAAATATTGTTCTCCCAAATAACTAAATTCATTGTGACCCACGAGTCTTATATTTGGCATGGAGGTTAGCATGATTAGTAGTGATCTATTGATTTTGAGTCAAGTTCACAGGGGCCGTTGACTGAAGAAAGCTGTCTGCCCAATAACTTTAGATTTGACATACAGTCTTTAGATTTGCATGATGTGTTTCATGATTAGTGATGGACCCTATTTTTTCTACGTAGCAGTCAAAAGTCAAGGACACAGGACCTTGATGTAAATATTGTTCTCCAATAACTTGAAGATTATTTACCCCAAGTCTTATTTTTGGGGGGTATTGAACGTCATGCAGTGGAGTTTTAGTTTTTGAGGTATTTAGGTCAAAGATAAAGGGTCACTTTGCCATTAAAAAAGCATGTAGATACATAACTTTGATATGCACGTGGCTACTTCCCTCACATTTGGCTGGGAGGTTGTCCTTAAGCTCTAAATTACTACTGTTGATTCTGACAAAGTGGTATGCCGTGGGTATTCACAACATGACAGTGGCAGTTCTAGTTGGTGCAGTTTTACCTAATGGTACAAAATGGCAGTTATACATTCTCTGTTATTCAAAAATTGTCATTTTCACATTGTATTTCCTCTGTTGTATCATAAGTAAATATATTTTATTTCATCAATT